AAAATGTTTAATTAAAATATTTTCAAAATTTTTTTTTAAATTTTTTTTTTTTTTTTTTTTTTTTTAAAGAATGCGACTTAAATGGAGCCTTAATACCTTTACAATAGTCTTTCTATTAGTTCATGTAATTCCGAAACATCCAGGCTAAGATACTTCGTCATGGACAACGGTAATATCATGTTTCAAAATGAAAAATTAGGACTTTTTGTTGTTCATTGTTGTCGATGTTCGTCTACTGAAATATCAAATAACTGTGGTTTCTCTTTCATTATCATGATAATCTAATGCAGAATTTATTTTAATGTGACCCATTTATTTTAATAGGAATAGATTTAGAGTGTAATAGATATATAAGAATCATGAATGAAAATAACAACTCTCTTTTTTCTTTTTCTTCTTCTTAAATGATCCCAAGTAAAATTACATATATTAACACACTTTTAAATACTTTTTTTTGTGAACCATTTTTTTTTTTTTTTAATTTCCACTCCCAACCATTTAACTTGTCTTCCTCTTCTTCCTCTTGTATTTTTTTTAATTTTAATTTTTTTATTTCACGATGGTGCTGCAATCTTTTCTTTTTCCTCACTACACTTTTTTTTTCCCTTTTACTGGCGAATTATTCACATTATATATATGTGTGTATGTGCGCGCGCGCGCGTGCACGTAAAACATGAAAATGATAAAGTAATTATAAAAATGTCACTAACTATCAGTGTTATCGGAAATTTTAAAAAATATCGGTGTATTTAATTGAGGCTTTTATAAATTTTTAAAAAGTCTTTAAAAGTCATAGCGTATTCAATTAAAACTTTTTAGAAATTTTTATAAGTTTGGAAGTATTCAAATTGTTAAATGACATTTAAAGATTTTTATAAAAGTCACTAGGACACTAATTTTTAAGCCTTAAGTACTAAAATAAAATCTAAAAATTTGTCTCTCATTCATCCCAATATTTTGGGAGACTTGTATATATATTTGTTTCTTTCAATATTCCTCTTTCTTTTTTCATTCTACAAACATTAAAGTTATGATTAAAAATTATATTTTTGCAATTGGTTATAATTTATTTCTATTTTTCTCTCTTTTATTTTTTATCTCTATTTTCTATATATGAAAAAATATAATGAAAAAATATAAACTGTAACTAAGATTCTTATAACTTTTTTCATCATTTTTTTGGAAAAATATATATTTGTATTTAAAAATTATAAGATTTTATATAAAAAATGACTAATTTATAAAAGCCTATAAAAGTTTCAAAATGAGTTTATAGAAGTTTACGAAAGAATTCCACAAATTTTGCACAAATCCATAAAAAGTTCACATGAGTCATCACTCAATAAAAGTCCATAAAAGCCTTAAAAAGTCAAAATTGAATACAACAATTTTAAACTTGCCGTGGGTAAAGTAATCATATAGACTTTTGATACAAGTAAATAAGTCGAACGAAATAATGGAACGAAATTATCTATTTAAACTCTAATATATTTATTTTTATATTTACATATAATAGTAGTAGTAGTAGTTCATACTGACCTATAGAATTTTAATATTACAAATAGATATGTGGAGTAAACGATTTTATAAATAGACATCATTAGCATCAAGCAGGTCTATCTATATGATAGAGAAAAGGGATTTCGATGCACTCCATTTGTGCAAAATATTGCCAACAACATCATAAAAGTCTATCCCAACTTCATTTTGTGTAATTCGCATTGTCATGAAACCTTGTCCATCGTAATAAAACTTCATCTGGTCCTTTTCGTTAGACGACCAACTATAATTACCTCTCCACGCTTTTGAACCTCCGCCACTTGTAAAAAATTGAAGAGGGCTATAAAAGAAAAAACAAATTTTCATTAGTTTTTTTCCCCCAATATTAACTTAATTAATTTGTTAAGTTAATTATATTGAGGCAGTATTATTACCTGTCTCCACTGCTGATGTGTTCCAAACAATGATCATGTCCATTTATGTACATATCAACATTATTAACCTGCAAAAATTTGATTTAGTCACAAGTTTTGTTACTTCAACTTTATTATTATTGGCATTTATTTTTTTATTAAAAAAAACAAAAAACAAAAAACTTACATGGAGAGGTCACTTCCAGATAAAAAGAAGTGAAATGAGTCCACAGTTTTTCTTTTCTTAAAGTATAAATTTTCTTTTCATGTCGCAAGAATTTCGAATCATCTACAAATTCTAGATATAGTATACAAAATTGACAAGGATTTCACTCGATTTAAACCTCCTAGTCTTATTCGTCAATTACGGTATACAATAATTCTATTCTTCTATATTATCAAAAATCTCATTAACTCGATCTGGAGGAGGTTTAAATAATGTAGCACTATAGTCATTTTGTATGATTAAATTCTGATATTTAAGGCGGGAAAAATGATGGAAGACAAATTTTATTTTAACCTAAGATTAGTTTGAAATTTTTTCCCCAAAAAAAAAAAAAAAAAAAAAAAAAAGAGATTTACCTTCAGAATTGGAAGAAGTCTTTTTACAAGCTCTTGGGTGTCGCCATGAATTCCCCCACTTCTAATGGTATGATGACCAACCACAATTTTCCATTTTGCATGAGATTCTCCTAATGCTGATTCAAGATCCTATTAAGGACACACAAAATATTGTTTTGTGCTTCGTTGAACTGAATAAGATTAAGTCACATTGTATTATCTAATGGAAATAAATACAATATAAAGAACCATCGGCATAGTGACAAAATAATTTACTCTCAAAATGGTTGTAAGATATTTTTCTCTAGGAAGCACGCCTCTCCAATCGTAAACTTTATCTCCTGGATCTGTAAAATATTTATCTTGGAAGGGTGTTGTGTCGATGAAAAAGAACTCTGCAATATCTGCTTAAATTAAGTGAAAAATGACAAAATGAGTAATTAACATAATGCAAACTTTAGAAATTTTTAAAGAAATATAATATAATTGTTACAAACCTGTGCTGAGAATGTAAGATTTGAGGCAAAACCATTTACCATCCCTTTGTTTGAGAATTGGACTCAATTGTGCTAAAGCATCACCTCTATAATCATGGTTCCCCAATACTGGAATAACAAAGTAAATGGGTAAATTTTAATCGAGGCCACCCACCTATGAGCTAAGTCCAACAGAGTCAACGAACTTTAAAAAGTCTAAATCAAGTCATTAAACTGTAATTTTGTTTCAAATTCAATCACCTTTTTAGATGTAGTTAATGTAATTGATGTGATTCGCCTACACTGGATGTTAAAATTAGATGGAAAGCTACACAGGACGAAGGTCAAGCATAAGAACGTAAATATATAATATAAGAATCATGCTACAAGTACAATCTAATTTGATAATCTTTGTTGATAACTTACACTTGACAACATCACACTCATTCATTTCAAAAACTATTTTTTAAAACAATGGTTCGAATTTTGACAACACCAATACTGTCAAGTATGATTGTACAAATAGCATAATTGATAATATAAGTACGTGCATAACGATAAATATGGAGTTTGGTTCATGTAAATATTTTAATGACGTGACAGTTTCCCATTCCATGTAAGTCCTATGTTGCATTCCATCGATCGCGTTAAAGACATCTCATGCAATAACTGAATGTGAAATAAAATAAAAGTATGGTGACTTATTTTGAATTACTTTTTGACAAATAATTTGTAATTACCTGAATACCACAGCCTCTGCAAGCTGGGTGCAGTGTAAATTTTGGTAAATGACTCCTCAAACGCGGTATCATGTTCACCAGTTAAACCACTGGGATAAAAGTTGTCACCTGTAGAAATAATGAAATCTAGGTCCATCTTCTCCCCAGTAATTCCCATCTGAGAATAACATCAAAATAAATAAATAAAATTAAGAAGTTAGAACGATTTGTCTCCATGAAGATGGACCATTCGAATTTCTCAATTTTGCATTAAATTTCAGTTTTTTAATTTCTCTAAGTTGGTTTTCTATTTTGTTTATTGCGCTGCTATAAATTTCTTTCTTGAAAACATTGACTCTCGTACCTATTAAGGGCCTGTTTGATACTGATCATAAAATTGATTTTTTTGATCGTTAGCTTGAAATGTGGATTCCACGTGTGAGTAAAGAGATAAAAAATGACGGTTGACTATGATAAATGACGGTAAAAAAATTAATTTTTGGCTTAAAAAATCATAACCAAACGGGGCTAAAGATTGACGACACTGTTTGCACGTGAATTAACTGGCTTGTATATTTAAATCAATAATTCAATAGGGATGTCCGATTAGGAAGTTGAAAAAATAATTGCCTCAAAGACTTTTTGTCCCTCTTTAAAGAGAATAAAAAAGCGCCCAATTTTTAGTCAAAAATGAAATTTGAAACAGTGATTTGACGGGGGAATGAAGTTTTAAATTTGTATGTAATATTCTGTTTTTGAATAATGTGTAGTGAAAAATAAAAAAGAGAAAAATATTTTAAAAATAATAAAGAACAAACAAGAGCATAATACCCGTGTATTCATTAATATTTTCACATATTCATTTTTAATCAAATATTCATATAATAAAATATTATGCACGTAAAAATAAAATAATTATCTAATTTTTAATCATACATTTTTTTAAAGGTAATTAGCACAAAACGTCCCAACCTTTCATGATTTTTTGTGGAAAACGTCACTACCTTTCATTTTTTGACGCATTTCATCCCTACCTTTACATTGTCTTGTGGAAAACATCATTATCATCATTTTTCTCAATAAAAAATTATAAAATGACTAATATACGCTTCTATTTAAATAAAATAATAATAAAAAATTAATTGCAATCATAGTTTCAATTTTTAAAAAAGTTCAAAAGAGGAGATGGATGTGGAGAATTTTTTTATTTGGAACTACGATTATATTTAGTTATTTATTTACTTTTTTTAAATAGAATGATATATTAGTCATTTTATAACTTTTTATTTAGAAAAATGATGAAAATGATGTTTTGCACAAGAAAATATAAAGGTATGGATGAAATGCATCAAAAAACGAAAAATATAAACGTTTTCCACAAAAATTATGAAAGGTAAAAGCGTTTTGTGCTAATTACCTTTTTTTAAAGATCATTATTCAAAATATTGTTATGACCAAATAACGACAATCGAACACGAGCTAAATGGAATATGCATGGAATTATACCCTTATAATAATCCTACAGCGACTCCTATGAAAATTTGCTTACACGCGATGAAGCCAATCCTTTCAAGCCACAAAATAAATAAATAAAATTAAAGTATCCATCATTGCTTCAGAAATATGCTAGTTTTTGGATTCTGCAAGGGACATAATCATGTCTTTTGGCAAAGGTGTTAGGTGGGACGAATCGAGCTGAGCTAGAACGAGTTATGAGCACGAGTCGAGCAGAGAATAACTTAGGCAAGTTGCTCGTCGAACCGAGTCCGGCTCGGCTCTCGTCATTTAACACCCTACTTTTGGCTAAGAATAGGATTCTTTCGGATGAACAGAAACAAGAACGCTATTATTCACAGTTTTTTATGTACAAAAAGTTTGAAAAAATCAACAACTAATAATTCAGAAATTGCAATAGAAAAAGTGAACAGTAGGAAAGCGCGCATTTAATACACATAGAAAAGAGATTGGTGATATTTTATACCTGGTAAGCAACTTGAGACTGGTTATATTTTCCTTTCCTTCCCCAATCTCCGACCACCAAAATGCTAAGGGAGCCATCAGCTTTTGCAGGATGATCAAATCTCTGAAGTTCAGCATTTCCACCGATAATTACAATTGTACCTACGATCACACAGATAACTATAAAAATTTCATTCTTTACAGCCATCGGATGAGTCGGTATCGGTCCGGTCGGAACGACGACGGTGCCGGAGGACGAAGGATGCGGAGAGAAATAAGAAAGGTACGAAGGCTGCTTTCCTTGTTGAGCGTCTTTAACTTTTACATTAGCACAGTACATGGAGCCGGACGAGTTGTCTTCCTATAACATAATTTTGGTCCCTAAAGTTATAGAAATATTTCAAGTTGGTCCTTAACTTTTATTTCGTTCCATAGTGGACATTTAAGTAACTGGATTTCACGTTAATCTTACTACTAAAGTGATAAGATTGAAATTTAAAAAAAAAATAAAAATAAATTAGTAACTGATTTGGAATAATTTAATAAATTTTAAGAAACAACTTGAAACGCTGCAATTATAGAGATCAAATGTGTGTTTAATCCAAGTTATCCAAGGTTTATGTAGTTGGTTTGGTTTAGCTAAAAATGAAATTTTTAGTAAGTTTTGATAAAAAGTTAATAAAACGTGTAAAAATAAATTTAAAAAAAGAAGCAAGTAGAGATTAATAAGAGTTTGGGGATTAATTTGGACAGACCTGAACACCATGAAATGAATTACATTGTAGGCTTTTGGTGTCCTACTAGCTTGGAGTATTCACCCCCAATCAAAGATTCCATTATTAAATGCTGAGCTGACAAGATATGTCGGGTCACTAGTCTATGGGGTTAAAGCCTCTTGATGATTGACATGTGAAATCCACTTAGATATTATTATTTTATTACCTGTTCAAAATAATAATTCATATTAAGAGTCTGTTTGAATCGTAGGGAGCCAGAAGTACGAACTCTTGAACCGAACAGGAAGGATCCATATCGTTTAAGAGAAGAAGTTCGACCTGAAATCTACCAGATAGGAGGATTGGGTGGAAAGGCGCAGTCTCATTCATGAAACGAGAAACATTTGCAAAATCATTATCAATGAATTTTGTACACAATCTTGTATTGGTTGTTTGTCAATGAAATGAGTTTGGCCTTAACTTGATTTATTTAGCCCTTGTTTGAGCCCCTTTTTTTGAAAAAATAAATTTTTTAACAATATTTTGACATTATTTTAACCACACATTCTTTAATAAAATAATATTATACATAAATTCAAAACTTTTTCTTATTTTTTAACCACACATTTCCCATCAATACACTATTCAAAAATTCATTCTTCCCCAAAAATGGGGCTCAAACAAGGTCTTAGTAAGATTTGTCTTGTGAAATTAACGAGCTTGATCCCTAAGTGGACCGCCTTGCAAATGGAAGAGGCACTTAGCACGCAATTACAAAAAGATCTACGCGTAAGTCACTCAACCTCGCACAAAATGAAAGCCAATGAAAATAGTCAAACTACTAACACTCGTGCAAAAAATCATTTACAAGTACAGACAAAGCACAAATCAAATATGAAGATGGGGTATTCATACATGATGAAAGAACAACATCAGTGAGACAGAAAAGTTTAACTTTCATTAATCAATAAAAAAGTTACAAAATGGGCTTCAAAGGCAAAAATTTAAATTACGAAAGGCCCTATCTAAATAGGAGGGGGAGGGGAGGTATGAATGAAGTTATGACATTGGAAGCAACCTCTTGGACTCCAACCTCTTCAACGACCTCGTCCTTGATCTCTATTACTTGGCTTTCCTGACTTCGAGGATATTGACGGCTTGAAGGTTGGCCTTGATCCACTCCACAACCTTTGTGTAGGCATACATTCGCCGGTAAGCACCGAAGCTTTGGTATGCCTCCATCAGACAGAAGTTCGCCATGTATCTTTTTTCAGCTTCGTTCCCAGCAGATTCAGCCTCTCTCATCGATATCTCCACCTCCTCCACCAAAACGAAAATTCGGGAGTTCAACTTCTCCACCTGCTCTTTCAGAGCAACATCCTCTTTATTGGCCGTCTCCAGGGCCTCGACGGCAAGCTTCTGGTAGGCGTCGAAGATCTCCACTCGCTTCGTTAGGGAGGTCACCTCGCTTTGTGATAAGTGGACCTCCTCCTTTAAACTTTCAATTTCTGCCAGTGCAAAAGCGAACTTCACAAACTCTTCATCTTGGCCCTTCTTCAAAGCCTTAACCTCAGACAGTACCTTTTTAGTTGCTTCCTCGGCCTCTGAAGCTCAGGTCATAAACCCTTTATTTTTATTCACGAGGTTTTTAACGAGAGCCTCTACCTCGATGGTAGTCCCAAACGCCCTCGATTTTTGACTTACCATAATGGTAAAAATGTCTACATTCATTGGATTCGACAAAGGATTACCTACGATCCGTCCAGAATTCGTAGAAAGTGCTGAAGCAATTTGCACTTTTGGAGGCGAGGCAACATCGATAAAACCTCCGGAGTCAGCTCATCACTCCGTTGAGTAACAAAAAGCTTGAAGCTAGGGGCAGCGTTAGCTGATGAAGATCCGCTGGAGGTCCTCGCCTTCTTTGACGAGCTTTGCTTGGGGGCTCTGCTTCAGTTGATCTCTTCTAGGCCCCCTTTGCAGCAGCTATAGATGCTACCATCAACTTTTCCCCCGTTGGGGCTTTGGAGCGAGGCAGCAATGGGCTGGCAGCAAATCTACCTACTCTAGTGGCAGAGAAGTGATGTTTATTCTTGGGGATCTCCTCTACTCTGCCTTTCTCCTTGTCTGCCAAGGAATGTCTCCTAGTAGCCTTTTGGCCAGCAGCTTCCCTGTTGGCTCTCTCCACTTGGTCTCTCACTTGTTTTCCAACAAAAGATGAGGGTTTCAGGCCCTTCCTCCCAGCTGTGGAGGTGGCGGATAATATGGTGGCCATATTAGAAGGAGGGTGCTTCATCATCTCAAAGTTCTCTACAAGACAAATCAACAAACGTATAAAAACACGAAGCAAAGAAAATATCAAAGTAAGCAAAGCGATGATTACTCAGAGGTTGCAGAAATATCTCTCCTAGCCATCAGGTTAAATTCTTCAAAAAATCATTTCGAAACGATGAGCCTCTCGAACTCCCTTGAAGAAGCCAAACACAAGTAAATGTCCTTTATAAGCTCAAGTTCTGACGAACCAACTCCTCTTGCAAAAAAGAACTAAGCATCAGAGTCCATATCAGCATAATCACTTAGTAAAATACTAATGTTCGACACTTACCAGCTTCTGAGTAAGAGGTTGGAACTGTCATTTCTTCCTTGTCCAAAACCACGTCTCCTTTAATGGAGGAGGTAAGGCCAATGACAAAGGAGGAATGTGACTCCAGGGACATAAGGAATACCATCCTTTGGAGTCCCTTTTTCCTAGTGACCAAGGTTGAAGAAGGGTTTGAAGTATGTGAAGGGGCATATCCTCGCCTAGTGAGGCTCCTTTCAAAAAAAGTAAGACCCCACCAGTTGAGCCTAGGCATTAGAAACGAACTGGATAGGGACCAATCCGTACAACCTAAGAACGACTTTAAAGAAAGGGTATAATGGCAGTTGAAGTCCTGCGTTTAAAAGAAATTCACTGATGGCTACGCATCCTGACCTTGGATAACACGCACGCTCATCAGGCAAGGGGGCTAGGAGTTCCATATCATAAGGTATGCAATATTTTTCCCTAAGGGACACTAGATGGAAAGCATCCACAATGGACGGAATTTTCGAAGCCCTCAAGACTCTTCCCCAGTCCCACCCTCGTTATTGAAAGGCAACTTCGACTAGCTTTAATGGCCTTGGCAAGGTTGGCATTGTTGGTAATTTCAAGCCCCATCTTAGCGGCTACTTCACTAAGGTCTACTCTCTCCTCAGATGAAGAAGAAGCCATTTGAACTATACAAGTCAAAAAGTTTTAGATACTTATGGAATTACGAGAAAGAGTCGAAGATTTGAGAAATCACAATGCAAAGAGCTTAATAGCTGAAAGAAAATTCGAAAGAACAAACGAAAGCACAAGAACATAAAGAATGCCAATCAAGATAACGTGAAGGCAAAAATGATTTTTGCCTAAGCGTCTTGTCTTTTATAGGTGAAGGAGTTTGATCCCAGCTGTTGGATTGAAGATCAAATCACCTAGCCGATGATTTGGCGATTAAATCTGAACCACTCATGACATCTACCGTTTCGTATTCTAAGGCCCAAATTATACCGTCACTCTCACCCGCCAATGCGCCTAGGCAATGAGAGCACGCCCACAATAGCTATCATTTCTCATAAAATGCGGCGACGGTTACGTGTGTGGGAACTCGAACCGTCATCAGCTGTCTTTTCTAGAAATTTTAGATGACGGCTATTCATTTTAGCACGACTCTTGATGACGCCTCGTGCTCCCTAACACTGAACCTGTATAACCTTTCCAATCTCTCTAACAACCTTATCTACATCGACAAAATATAGCACTTCCACATTATACCTCGCCACTTCGACATATACGTCTAACTACGACCTCAAAACAAGTAAGGTCGATTCAGATAAGTTTCCTCAATATGCAACTTCAAAGGCACCTCAGTTATTCAAAAACTCTATTTTCACATAAATGTTCGTAAATTAGACTTGCAGGACTATATTGTTATGAGATTAAATTTCTCTCACTACCAAAATTTTTCCTTACGCAATATGAATTTTATGCATCACATGAATGACCATACATTGACTTAGGAGGCTATTGTTAGTGACCATATGTAATGCTCCCAACGGGATACGTGGAAGCCGTGTGTTCCCACACGTGGCATTCAATTAAGAATAAAGAAAGGGATATTGAAGTGTTCTCATCAAATAGCCAGGGCCCAACTATAGAAGTACTCTTCTTATTTAGCTGAAGTTGTTCTGCTTTGTTTGGTCGAAGTGGTTTTCTTCTTTCTATCGAACCCCTTCACATTCGAAGTCTGTAACTCTCAAAGTGGGTTTGATAGGTGTACCTCTAGGACTTATTGATGTGACGTCTTCATTGAGCGTATGTCAAGAATGTCAGCTTAGAAGTGTAGGGTGATTGACCGTTTGTCAAAAGTCTGTCAATGTAATTAATGTGAGAAAGGATGATACAACACCAGAGTCAAGCAGATGAGACCAGGTGGATCTAATCCAACGGCGACCACATCGGCCTAGTTACTATAAATAGTGATCATTGTAATATTTAAAGGGATGAATCTTTAGATAGATAAAGGAACATTGAATCTTTAGATAGATAAAGGAACATTGTATTTTTCTCCCAACACACCTTTACTCTTTATTACATGTTCTCTCCTTTACAAGTATATGCCTTATTTTCCTACTCAAATGTACTTGAGCAACATTTGAATATTTGTTTAAGCTTACAATCAACATATTGAGGAATACGTCCACATGTGCATCATTTTGATCGACACCTATTGACACGTTTTTGGAGGTCAACAAAATGTTTGACCCTACGGATGCAAAATTTAGCAAAAACATTCTTGGCTCGTTAGCAGATGGAGTAGGACAAGTGGAGCAATTGAGGGTTCGACCCATGCGCTTATGAGCAAGATCACTTTGGTCTCAAGATGGTCTTTCTTTTAAATTTTTATTTATTTTGTATTAATATCAAGTTGTGGACTTTTTTGTCATTTGTGGATTTTATGGCTTACCATTTGGATTGTTCCTTTCGTTATTCTAGGGCTTTTATGGATTAAAATAAACTTGCAATACTTTGTTTCGGAGTGTATTTTTTTTTCCCGTGTTATTGTGCTTGTTCCTTGCAATTGCAGGTCCACAGTGTCGACTAATGATTGTATAGGTTTTGGAATATTAGCGAGGCTGCAGAGTGAGTGCGAGAGTCGAGACAACGTTATGCACTTTAGTGTTGGTGTTTAGGGTTATTTAGTGTATTTGATCTTGCTTGGCTAAGAAATGAAACAATAAAATGGGTAATTGGACCAAAAATTAAAAAATTAGAAACGAAACAAATTATTGGGCCAAAAATTTGGATTTAGAAATCGTTAATTTGTCAATTTGTTTAGAAAAAATTGAAATTAAAATAATTTGATTTACTCAAAATAAAAAAAAAATAGAAAAATTCGGTTCTTATTCGGTTCTTCGGGTCTTGGTCTAGAACCGAGAACCGAACCGTACCCGTCGGTTCTCAATTCAGATACCCGTTCGGGTATTTAATTTGACAAGAACCGTCGGGTTCGGTTCGATCGGTTCGGTTCGGGAGATTTGCCCAGCCCTAGTAACCACTCATGCACAACCCCATTCAATCTCTTTTGTGTAACTACTCCATAAAATGTGACAAACAATTTAATTAATCATAACCATTTCCAAAACTTAATAAACCCATATAATCCGACAAACCCAATTCCTATTCACGAAACTTAGCCCCCGTTTGGCCCTCATTCTCCTTCTCATTATTTTTCTCTCTTTTATTTTCAATCACACAATCTTCTATAAAATAATATTACACAAAAATCAAAAAAATTTCTTTCCTTTTCAACCACACAGTTTTCAAAAAAATACTATTTCAACCATTAAAATTTGAAAAGAATAGGAGCCAAACGAGACTTAATAAACCCATATAATCCAACCTTTAATTACTCAAACCCAATTCTTGTCCACTTTTGACGTACTAGTTTAATCAGAGTCAAATAGTACTTGCCAATTCATCTAAAAGACTGAAAATCGATCTAAATATCGATCACATTCAATCCCTAAAATGGAAAAGTAGACCCATAAAAGTAAAAATTATAAAAACCAGCCAATTCACCTAAAAAAAAATTAATTTTCTTACTAAAATACGATCTAGGTTCGATTCCGATTTAATCCTTCAACTCTTAATATCCTTTATCTTTTTCTTGTGAAATTTAAGACGCTGATTTTTCACGTGAGATAAAGCTGTCTCTGTCGCCTGATAATGCAATGAGATCAAACCGAAGATATCCATAGAAAAAATTGTGGCTCTACAAATAAAGTAATGATATTTTGGCAAGTTGGTCAGGATGCGTTGTCAGGTTAAAGTATTGAACCTCCGTTTTACACGTCATCAAATCAACTACTCAACAAAATCAAACGTAACATTTTATCAGCCAATTAGATGTGTGCACGTGTAAGCTTTTTGTTAGGGAACATGACAAAAATTTAACGGAGAACCCAAAAGAGGATGATAAATTAGACCCTGACCCCTATTCTTTTGAATAGTATATTTTTAAAAAATATGTAATTGAAAAAAAATGAAATTTTTTTGATTTACGTGTAATATCATTTTATGAAAAATTATGTGATTGAAAAAAAAAAGAAAAAAAAAAAGAATGAGATGGAAAATAAAGGCCACACATAGGCTTAGAGTTGACTATGATGCACTCTCTTCCTTCGACGACTCGTTAGATGAAAAAATCGGACTTCTTTATTAGTTTACTGAGTTCCTTTTTGACAGACATCGCAAAAGTAGTTTGTCGATTGAGCGTTACAAATATACTCTATGCTGGGGGAAAAAAAAATTCATTTTGCATGTTTCCAACTACAAAAACAAATGAGAAATAACAGCAAACAATTCTTGTACGGCTTGCCACACTTCAAATAACATTGCTTTTTCTGGACACTACAAAGTTGCAATACAAACTAAACTTAACTAGAGAGTCGAAAGTTTAACAAACCTACACAATTTCAGCCCCACACTACCATTGATATAAATAAAATCAACTGGATAAACATCCCGCATTCAGAAATGTTACTGAATCGAACATTTACAGAAACAGAAGAGACGACAAAGCCACGGGGAGACCCTTCAAACTACCTGATGGGCTTTAAGATTATCAATGAAAACTGAAAACATAACAAGTAGAGGTTAATCATTTTCTAACCTTCGCTGCGCTTCATTTAGCGGTGAATCGCGCCCAATAGAGAGAGAAGAAATGTCCTGAAATGGCTTGATGTTTCTGAATGAATTGCATCATTCAGAGATTTTCTGTGTTTCTTTTCATACTCTGCTTTTATGTACTGCATATCAATCTCTGCTCGGGTCACTACTATTCTAGTAAGTTTCGAATCATCTGTTCCTATGCCCTTCATTGCCTTGTGTAATTCCTGAGTGTAATTGTAGAGAACCAAGGTTGTGTTAAGGGTTAGTGACACAAAAATTAGCACTTCAAAGAAAATTCTAATGTATTTGACATTATAGCTCCTACACAAAAGAGAAATAAGAACAGAACAAAATGGTAAACTGCACATTTAGCACATCAACAACACTATTCCTCACCCAAAAGGAAGGAAAAGATGAAAGAAGACATCAAGAAACATGGAGAGAACCGACAAACAAAATGGAAAAATCAAAATTATCAGTTTTATGCATGAGAAACAAAAATATAGGCCTCTAGCAAAGTAATGTGTCAACAAGACCAGTCATCAGACAGGAGAGGAAAAAAAAAAAAAAAAAAAAAGGATTCAAATTGCACTGGGAATAGCCAGGGGACTTGCGTATTTACACGAAGAATGCACCACTCAAATCATCCACTGCGACATCAAGCCTCAGAATATACTTCTTGATGAATATTTCAATGCTCGGATTTCAGACTTTGGATTAGCAAAACTTCTGATGATGAATCAGAGTCGTACCCTCACTAATATCAGAGGTACAAAAGGGTATGTTGCTCCCGAATGGTTTAGAAACACTCAAGTCACCGCGAAAGTTGATGTTTATAGCTTCGGAGTTTTACTACTAGAGATCATTACATGCAGAAAAAGCCTGATAGATTTGGAATTTGGAGAGGGAGAAAATCCAATTCTTACAGATTGGGTTTGGGACTGCTTTCAGGATGGAACGCTAGATACTTTGGTTAAAAATGATGCTGAAGCTTTAAATGACAAGAAAAGTGATGTAGGATGAATAAGAAGGAAAGAAGAAGGAACGGGGAGGAGAAACAGAGAGAAGGGAGAAGAGGAGAAGAAACTAGGGGAAGAGAGGGGAGGGAGAAAACGGCTGCAAGCCACCAAAAAATATTTCAATTCTAAATCATCATCAACTGTCTCAAATGAGAAATAAAATAGAAATAAATAGCAGAACACAAACCCTAAAGAAAACGGCAATTGATGCGGACATCCATTTATTATTTATTTTCTATTTGGACTATTAGTTATATTTTATTTGGACTATTGTTTATGTTTTCGTTATTGGACTTGTTTAGTGGGTTTGGCCCAAACCCTTCTCTTTAGGGTTTGTGTTCTGCTATTTATTTTTGTTTTGTTTCTCATTTGAGACAGTTGATGATGATTTAGAATTGAAATATTTTTTGGTGGCTTGCAGCCGTTTTCTCCCTCCCCTCTCTTCCCCTGGTTTCTTCTCCTCTTCTCCCTTCTCTCTGTTTCTCCTCCCCGTTCCTTCTTCTTTCTTTCTTATTTATCCTACATCAAATTTGGTATCAGAGCTAAATCTTGGGTATTTTTTTCTTATAATTCAAAATTTTCTTCTATCCCTTTTCCCAAAACTTGTTGAATAACAGAAACGAAAAGGATTTGTTGGAAGATAGCAGTTTTCCTTCCTAGGTTAAAAAAAAAAAAAAAAAAAAAAAAAAAAAAAAAAAAAAAAAAAAAAAAAAAAAAAAAAAAAAAAAAAAAAAAAAAAAAAAAAAAAAAAAAAAAAAAAAAAAAAAAAAACTTTTCCCGGGTACTGTTCACCCGCGGGAAAAAAAAAAAATCCGAGTTGTTATGTTACTGCTGCTACTTCCTACAAACCCTAATCCATACACACAATCAATTATTAATCCAAACAGTCCATTATAACACCCAGTCAAATATTCTAGTCTCCAAATCATTTAACCCGTTACTCAAACTCAATCTACATCCACATAATCATAAGTAGCCCAAGTCCTAGAGGCCATTATCCACATCTCATATTCAGCCCAATAAGGCCATTACATCAACCCAATTATCCAATTTGGCCAATAACCCAATCCTCAGCCCATTTATCACATATTTAGCCCAACTAACCCAACCTACTCTCTACGACCCAGGCCCACTCTCCAAACACTAACCCAAATTGACCCATCTCTATAACAGGATCTAAACCCCTTCCCATTTGGCCCAGTCCCAAATATCCGACCAAGCCCGATTATAACCAATCAATTAATATCAAATACCTCACAGTTTCACCCGATTCCTCTCTCACAACCACTCTCTTGCTGCCATCGCCTCAAATCACCATCACGCTACCACTTCGTTACCACTTCATTATCTATTGTACCCAGGCATCTAGAGCACTATCGCTTCATCGCCATAGGCCACCACCACCAACCCAAGATTATACACTTTCACCACAGTTACCACACTCATATATTTCCTCGTCCATCTCAACAATCTAAAAGCTACAGTCACCACACTCAGTTTTACGTCCATACCAGAGCCAACACAAGTTACAGTCAACAGAGGTTAAAACCATTGGACACGAAGGGAAGAACAGAAGCATAGTTGGGGCTTATAAGTTGGCAATTCAAATCAAGCGGCATACAAATAATCAAAACTAAACTACAGGGAGTTGCTATCTCCTAATTCTCATTGGTTTATACTGCTGTTTTATTTTAAAAGTGCATCACTTAGATTCTTTGTATTGCTGTTACTATCACAACTTTGGCCTCAAACTTCACTTGACTGGAATCACTCATTGAATTGACTTGCCATTGTTGCCCCATTTATCTCACTGAATTGATGTGCCATTGTTACCTCTTTTATCTACCTGATTGGAAATCTTGACAATACCATTTGATCTTAACAAGCATTGGACCATTGCTTTATTATTTACAAGTATCAGCACTATTAACTTGTATTTTTGGAAGGGAAGAAAAGAGAGAGAGAGAGAATTTCAAATTGATGTTTTAATCGTTGGTCCTTGATGCATATTGGTCTCTCTATTGCATTTCATTTAGGTAGTATTGCTTTGCATATAGTTACATATTGGTCATCTTGTCAGTTCTAGCTCTAGTACCTTAAACATGAATCCCTCACAATTCGATGCACTCACCCGACAAATAGCGGCTATTCAAACTCAAATGACCGCTACTCTTAAAGAGAGTAAGGCCCTATCTGCTAGTTCGAAAAATTTTAAACACATCCCTCATTCGATTGATGTTAATAATTTTAAGGTGTCCCATAATAGACAACATCGTCGACAAGGTAATCAAAAATACTTTCGACCCGATCGTAAGGATAGGGATAGGAATAGGGATCAGATTCGTGAGCGAGAACGAGATAATTTTGAAATTCTTGCTCAACGGAATGCCCTTAAACAAGGAAATCAATTAATGACCGAGTATATCGCGCAATTTGAGGAATTTCGAATCAAATGTCATTTAATTGAGAATGAGAGCACGACTTTGAGTAGATTTAGCCAAGGTCTGAGAGATGATCTTAAGCGCGAGCTTTTCCTTCGAGGTGTCACTACTCTTGATCACGCTTACTCTTTAGCTCGAGATTATGAGTTGATTATTAGTACTCCATATGAAAAGCGTGGTCATCGTCGCTCACCCATCTCATTAGCGTCACCTCATCATAAGTCTATCATAAAATCGTCTCCGTCTAATGTTCCTCCTATTTGGAAAAATAATTGTAAAGGTCGTGATAGTCCACAATCTCCTTTTCCATGTAGAAAGCATATTGACAATCATCCTTCGGTGTCATTGGCTCCACCTCCTCCCGTTAAGTCCCTTCCAGGGCCTCCCCCATCTAATGTTCCTCCAATTTTGAAAAATAAGGGTAAAGTTTTTGATAATCATCATTTGGCTTCATTGGCTCCACCTCCTCCCGTTAAGTCCCTTCTAGGACTTCCCCCTTCTAATGATTATCTAATCTTGGAAAATCAAGGTAGAATTTCTGAAACTCCAAGGTCTTCTTCTCACTTGTTGTGCGTTAACTGTAAAGACTTTGGCCACATTTCTTCCAAATGTACTAATCGAACCTTAGTCATGGAAGAACGAAAGAATGTAATAGATATGCCATTAGAAGATTTAGTCTATGAACCTAAACTTGAAGATTTTGATGACTTGGATGATAGTGAGGACACTTCTTTAGGTGGACTCCAGACTCTTCCCGAGACTTTAGATACTATACCCTTTGTTTCTGACAGCTCTCGGTCACATGTTATATGTCATACCCTTGCACAACTCAAAGAGCTTGATGATTTCGCTGGCCACCCTTGGAAAATCCAGTCGCTTGTGATTAGCATTAAATCAACATTCCCCACTACTGACCAACTTCAAACTGATGGTCAAAATGAAGTCGTTAACCAAAGTTCTAGCAATTTATTCAAGTCTCTAGTCCAGAAAAATCTTAGAAACTGGGACTTGATTCCCCCAACTGTTCAAATTGCGTATGACAATTCTGTAAATCGGTCTCTAGGTTTGAATCCATTTGAAGCTGTTCATAGTTATAAGTCTAGACGGCCGTTAGACCTTATTTCCATGTCCCCACATGCTAGTGTGTCGATATTAGTTGAAGTATTTGTGCATCATCTTCATGACTTGCATATTAAGATCCATAAACAACTTCACGCAAGTAATGCATTATATAAACTTCAAACTGATTTGCATAAACAATATTTTCAATTTCATCTTGAGGATTATGTTATATTACAAGCCAGTAGTGCTGGTCCTTTTAAAGTTTTAAAGCATGTTGGTCCATACGCACATGTCCATTTTGGCCACCACTCTACTTTACATATTGAAGACTTAGTTACTTACAAAGGCCTTTTTAATTTCCTTAATGATCCTTTTCTACTTCCTTATGTGGATCCCCAACCTAAATATATTACCATTTTCACTCCAATAACACTTGTCACAGCACACAAAGATGTAATTGATGCTATTTTAGATAAACAGGTTGTGTTGACCAATGAGGAAGATTTTGGAGATGAGTGGCATGAATTTTTACTATTGGGAGTTCAGTATCGATATGTGATTACAAAGAAAGATCGTCCTCCTTGGTTGGATCATATCCTTAATGATAAGCTGCAACTATCCTTGTTATCATTTGTGGAGTTTCGGTATTTGGTCATCGAGAAAGATCGTCCCCCATGGCATGACTTGGAGCCTTTCGCATCAAATTCAGTGCGACATTCTGCTTTATCTACTCGACGGGGTCGAGTTTTTCTCCCACCCCGGGAGAATTGATGCGGACATCCATTTATTATTTATTTTCTATTTGGACTATTAGTTATATTTTATTTGGACTATTGTTTATGTTTTCGTTATTGGGCTTGTTTAGTGGGTTTGGCCCAAACCGTTTTCTTTAGGGTTTGTGTTCTGCTATTTATTTCTGTTTTATTTCTCATTTGAGACAGTTGGTGATGAATTAGAATTGAAATATTTTTGGTGGCTTGCAGCCGTTTTCTCCCTCCCCTTTCTTCCCCTGGTTTCTTCTCCCTTCTCTCTGTTTCTCCTCCCCGTTCCTTCTTCTTTCTTTCTTATTTATCCTACATCACTTTTCATGTTTAATTCTTAGCTTGCAGAGTAGAAGTTTTCTTTAGTTTGTCAAGTCAAGGGTACTTTGCAATTCCGAAACATTCTCATTGAAGGTTTAACCAGATTATTAGGTATTAATAGACGGCAAATCATGTTTTTGAGTTGTCCTTTCTCATCTATGACTAGTTTTAGTCATAAAGGTCTAGGTTTCTCAAGAAGGCACTCCATTCTTTTTCAAATTAGGATTCGTCTTCTGGGTCTATATAAGGTCTTCTACCTTTCCTTTCGTTAGTTTTGAAAAATATTATTCCAGCAGTAAATTAGCTTCTTGAAGTTATGTTTTCCATCCGACCACCTCCATTCATCAGTGCGAGTTTCAGCCTTCAGATATGATTCTTTTTGAAACATTTTTAATTTTCAAACTCTTGCCAAATTTTACTTTTAAAAGATTATTAGAGTCTCGAGGTTCCTGCTATTATAAAATTTAGAAAAACACCACACCAGATTTCAAAATCTGTTCTACAAAAGTTTGTGCAGCCCAGAGGGGTGTCCTATCACCAGGTAATCTTTGTTTTAGCCAGAAAGAAAATATTTTAACATTTTACTAAAATAATATGACAAATACATTTTTCCTAAAGTGAGTAAAATCATTTCTAATGTTTGTACAACATAAAATAACTTATGAAGGTATGAAGCCAAACTGATACCAATTTCTAAAACTTTTATAAAAAAAATAAACATACATCTTTGAAAGGTTATATTTAGTTGACCCTATTTTTAAGTTACCAAAAAACAGCCTAATGGTTCTT